AAGGAGTACAATGACCAAGAACCGACAAGTTTAACTCAACAGGGTCGTACTAGTTTTCTGATAGAAGATATTCTGTACCGGCAAAAAAATGGTGAAATAAACCAAACTAGTGAAAATATCTACAACAATTACAATATGACCAAACCAAATAATACAATAAAAATTCAGGATAATGCTAGTAATCATCCTAGAGCTTTTCATGCTCCGATCAAATCTATGGATTCCGTTGCAAAAATGCAGGAAAATCGAGTTTGTGTTAGTAAGGAATATAACGGGACTTCTGCTGGATATATCCAGCCCAGTATCGTACCAACTGGTGGGATGGTTCCAGGGTTCCAAGCTCCGGAAACTGGATATATCCAGGTTATGGGAGCTTTGGGTGCTTACCTGGGTTCTCCGTATAAAAATATGGGGGATCCGTATTTTCTAACACAGGGTGAGTGTACATTTGTTTTTTGTTCTTGGATTAATAATATCAAATATACATTTAATAAAATATAACTCTATACTTATTTTATCTACTTATCTTAATCTGATTTTTGAGAACTTTATTTATGTTTTGGTATATGCCTCATATTATTTTTGAAATGATTTGCTTATTATTTATGAAAATTTGAATAAATAACCTAAACTGGTATTTGAGTCTCTAGTTGCAAACTGGTTCTTATATCATCAACAATCGCAGATTTAGATCCCATTTACCTAAAAATTCATTATATTATTTGACACCAGTGTCTCTGCTCTGTACTAAATGTTGCACTATCCACGCCGTTTTAACCCTTTGCAGATGACGTGTAGATTTCTCTATCAGGACTCACAGAGTTCTATAGTATGTCTCAGTTCAATAAGAATAGTTAATAAAAATTATTTCAATTCTTTGAAAGCCCTATAACGCTTATGCACGAGTCGTCACTGGCAATCGTAATGAAAAATGGTTAAGGTGGTTTTGTTTTGGTGGATGCATCGGAAGAAGGTAAAAAGAAAATGCCATTTGGATGACTTCAAAAGCCTTAAGTAAATTCATTTAAAGGAAAAATTGGCATGTAATTAAATACAAGTGTGTTCGAAAATAGAACATAATTTATGGCATGTAAATAATTAAGAGGGTTGAGGTCATCACGGAATATTAGTAATCTGTCCATGAAATGGCTTTTTATTTTTAGCTGTTGTATTTTAGATGGGTGTCATTTGCAGTTCCTGTAATAAACATATTATGTATATGCAGAAAATTTCATGATTGGGAAGGTAGTTTTTAGACAAATTTCACAACCCTAGTATTTTTTTTTTAATTTAAATGTCTCAACATCACTAGGTAAATTATTAGAAAGTATATTAATATCTGTTTTAAGACTAAGAAGTCCAGCAAAAGGTCTAAACTCACTAGTTCTAAAAGAAACAAAGACTTTATTTACTAAAGAAGTATCTTGAATCTATGAGTATTTTTATATTTCGAAAAAAGGTTCACATAGAATATATTCATACACAGAAAAATTCACCGGGAAACAGGTAGGCTAAATAATTCATAGACTAAATTATTCATCTACTCACAGAGCATTGCAATAGGCATCTAAAACCGATGGGATTGAAAAAGCAATATGTAGATTAGTTCCAAGATGAAGTTCAAGTTAAAATATGGCTAGGCAATCAATTGATACCTGAAGACTGGGGTTAGAAATTAACTGATAATACTTTGGAAACGGTTCAAACTTTACTGCCATCTGCTCCAGAAAAAATATTTACTACTATTTTTTGTAACTGCAAAAAAGGCTGTAGTGGTAAATGTGGATGGAGAAAAGTAAGATTACTTTGTTTATCAGCGTATACTAATAGCTGACGAGGATTCATGGGATGCCACTGAAGAGATAGCTGACAGGCCGTCAACTGAACAATTTGTGAACGTGTATGAAGAAGAAGAAGAAGAAATCGAAAGAAGACATTACATTGACAGGACTACTCTCTAATTCTACTATTAGCTGTTTTGGTTTAATAGAAATAAAAAATAATAATTAATAATTAATCCGGAAACACTTCACAACAAGTCGATAAAATGCTTTCACAGAAAGGAATATCGATAAGTGAGTTATAAGCTCGTATTTCAGGAAATCTCCGAAAATAAATATCTCCGTTGATAAATTGCTTATAAACTATCCATCCCATTTGGGAAAGATAATATTTTTTGCAGTTTTTCGGCCTAATATTCTCTCTCGTTCATCTCGAAATATTTATGCCGATGGAGAACTAATCTGAATTATTGCGGCAGAGTTTTGGAAACGGGCCAAAGGCACTATCCAGATTAAAGTCCCTTTAATAGTTATCAAATATTCGACATAAAAATGTTTATTTCCCGCTAGCTATTTAGGCGAATGGGGATTTTGCTGAAAGCTGGTAGGTATTTGTTGACGCACTATTTTTTCAGTTAATTATTGTTTATTTTTGAAAGCAGTAGGTTATTTCTTAAATCATTTTAAATCTAATTAAAAACAAAAAGTAATTCTGAAGTAAATAATCACCTAAATCACTTAACAAAAATTCCAGAGGATGGAACTTATAGCACTGTAAAAATATCTCTTTATTTCCACCTATCCATAATTTTTCTGGCGCTTTTAACTCATAAACCGAAATAACTGCTAATAATTTTCAACTCCAGACCAAAACAACGTATTTCTCACTCAGACAGGTTATAATTTTCACTGGCCCGATTATTTTTAGACATATAATCAAACAGGATAAAAACAAAACGCTCCAACACACACACACAGCTAACGAACTTCCTCCTCTATATTTCACCGAGCTTTAGAAACGATTCCGATTAGATATAAAGCACTTAAAACCAATACAAACTGAAACTTTAATGGGCCATAAAAATTTCTGGCACGCCTCGTAATATATCTATATTTTTATGCCCGACCGAAAACTAAAACTAGATGAAACGAAAACGCTACTCTGCTTCTGCTGCTGCGGCTTTCTTTTTTCCAAACAAAAATTGATCCGATTTTTTGGTTTAGTGCGATGTAGCTCATAAAATATGTCGAGATAAGGCGGATTGGTCTCTGTAAGGACTTCAAAGTGTGTTTGAACTACTTAATGGAGAGTGTACTCAAGCCGATTTAAATTTTGATAATATAGCGTAAAGTAAATCCTACACTATAAAAAGGATGCCAGTGAATGGTTAATTCATTTTTACGTCTATACTTTGAATAAGAAGACTAAGGAAGGAGCCTATCAAAAATCTTAGGTACACCGCGATGGGCCTCAAATATGGCCGACTTAAATTCCGGTTTATCAGTGCCGTTCTAATTTTATTTAAAAAATGTAAAACAATGATGTAGGGTAGACGTGGGGTAGACTCAATAATTTGTTATTTTATTTTACGTTGTGAATAAATGTTAGTAGTTATTAAAATTGTTATAAAAATATATAATTCTAAAAAAAAATAGATAAGTTATAATTAATAATCAAACGAACTTACCTGAAGTGAAGTTCGATGTTAATTATATGAAGCGTCCATTCCGAATGTATCACTTTACCACGTAGTACGCCCCTGTCGTGCTTATGTTCACTATATTGAAAGTTTTTATCTCGTATCCCGGTTCCCTGGACTTGTTGCTGTAACTATTTCTCATTTATTTAGATTTTTAATGATAATCGCAAAAACCAAATTGGGGAAAAAGAAAAGGGCGGGCGGGAAGTGATACATTCGGAATGGACGCTTCATATAATTAACATCGAACTTCACTTCAGGTAAGTTCGTTTGATTATTAATTATATTTCAGCGTCCATTCCTCTATATCACTTTACCACGTAGTTGTTTAGAGTGTTGGTTGCGATTATCGATATTCGATATTATGTGTTAGGGTGTGTGAATATTTTATCCAATAAAAGCTTATTTAGCCAAATTTTTTATTAAACTATTCATGTATAAGTAGAACATTAACCATAGAAACAAAAATTCTTATAACTAATACAATTAACTATATGTTATTAAACTTATAGCCTAAACCTATTTTGTTTGTTTAACAAAAAATAAAGTAACCTAATTGTTTAACAAAATAAAGTAATGAACGAAACACTAATTCTTATGTCTGTGCCGATGCTATAATTATTTTTGCAAACTGGGTGTTATCGCATATCGGCTTGTTATAAAATTGCGTAAATGTGGTTTGTTCAGTCCATCCTGCTGTTTGCATGATGCACTGAACAGAAAGTCCCTGCCTATGTGCACTCGATGTAGAAGCGTGTCTAACCGAGTGCGGTTTAAATTTATTAATATCTATTCCCGCTTCTTTTAGAGAACCCTTGATCCAGCGGCTAAGAGATTGTTTTGTGGCAACCCCATGTGGACTTTTGTATGTTAAAAACAAAAAGTCCTGATCTGATTTTCGATAGCTCATAGTTTTTTCTTTATAGATTATTAATGTAGATGCCACACAAAGAACAGGGTTATCCGGGAAAAACGGTATTTTTAAACAAGGTTGAATTTTATTTAAGCCGGAAGTTTTAATTGTGTCTGTTATAAAAATTTGCAAACCTGCTGAATTCTCTAAAATATTTGATATTCGGATTAAAGATATTGTTTGCACTCTGTGACCTGTTACGAGTGATAAAAGTGTGACTAATTTAAACGTTAACTGTTTGAGTGTTAGATTTTCGTTTGGGCCCAAATCTTAAAATAGTTTATGACCTGTGCAGGGTCCCAAGTGTTATTGTATTTAGGTGCCGACGGGTTTATTTTTGAAATTGCCTTCATGAAACGCGATACTCTTGAGTCGGTTTCAATATGATTTTGCAGGATCAAGCTTAAAGCAGATTTATGTGAGTTCATTGTACCGTATCTGTAGTTTTTTGTTTCTAAAATGTTTTGGAGAAATTGTATAACGTGTGAGATGGTAGGATTATATAACGATATTCCGTTTACATGGCAGAATTCCCACCAAAGTTTATACGTTGACTCGTATTGTTTGATTGTCGACGGGGTTATTGATTTTAACATTGTATTGATCGCACATTCGGGTATTTGTTTTTGCTTAAAGCCCTCGGCGATAATTTTGCAGCCACCAGGATAAGGCTTTTTGCAAGAGGATGTTGGTCTCTGAAAGGAGAAAAAAGAAGATTATCATTTGGCCCCAAGTAAATTTCTTTTTGTTTGAGTTTCTCAAAAAGAGGGTACCAAGGTTGGCTAGGCCACCATGGCACTACTAGTATTCCTTCGGCTTTATCTGCTATAACTTTGTTGAGTGTTCTAAGAATTAGAGAAAAAGGTGGAAATGCATAAAAACACGTAAATTTATTCCACTGTAGCGTAAATGCATCTACTGCTAAAGAATCAGGGTCTGGTTTCCAAGACACGTATTTTTTACATTTGTGGTTAAAACTTGAAGCGAAAAGGTCAATGTCTGGGTGTCCGAATTCTGATATTATTTGTTTAAAAAATGATTGAGATAAGGACCATTCGGTATCTAATGACGCTTGTGTTCTAGACGCTTTGTCAGCCTCGTAGTTTTCTGATGATGCAATGTATGATGCGAACAGCCAGATATTGCGCTTTTCGCACCATTGCCAGATTTCTTTTGCAAGATGTGCCAGATTTTTATATTTAATGCCACCCATTTTGTTTATATACGATAAAGCCGTTGTATTGTCAGTTCGTATTAAAATTGATATGTTATTCGTATTTTTAGCAAAACATTTTATGCCATAAAAAATTGCTAATAACTCTAATTCGTTTATGTGTTTATTTCTATGTGTTTCATCCCACCAGCCTTTGGCTGTGTGGTTACTTGAACATGCGCCCCAGCCTGTTAAAGACGAGTCCGTAAAAATAACCATATCAAAGAAATCAAATTTTACATTATTTTTGGCCCCTAAGATGCTATTAAACCACCAAAGAAGATCTTTAAGTGCCTCTGCACCCAATTTCATAGTGGCATTATAATTTTTGTTATGTACCTCGAGAGCGATGTATTTGTCCCTTTCAAGTGCCTTAGTATATAACCAGCCATATTTTATGGCTGGGCAAACAGATATTAAAATACCACAAAGCCTTGCGACATCGCGTATTTTATGAACCTTATTGATTTTTTGAAATTGTTGGATGTAATTTCTAATTTTGAGTCGTTTTTCTTCTGGTAATTCAAGCAACATTTTTTCACTATTATAAATAAATCCAAGAAAAGTTTGTTTAGTTTTTGGTGTTATTCTACTTTTCTTGTAATTTATGAGAAATCCTAATTTTTCTAGAATCTTTATTGTGTACATGGTATTGCTTTGGCATTCCTCATATGTATTTCCATAAATTAAAAAATCATCGAGATAAATTACACAACATATATGTTGTTTCCTAATAGTCCTTACAACAGGTTTAAGTAATTTTGTAAAGCAATAGGGTGCAGAAGACAGGCCAAATGGTAGGCAAGTAAATTCATATAGTTGATTTTTATATGAAAACCTTAAATATTTTCTATGATTTTTGTTAACGGGAAGCAAAAAATAGGCATCTTTTAAATCTATAGTTGTCATAAAGCAACCGTTTTGCAGTAATTTCATGGCTGTTCTAAAATCCTCCATTTTAAAATGTGATGCCTGTACAAATGAATTGAATTCGCGAAGATTTAAAATAAACCTTTTTTCTCCATTTGGCTTGTCTCTGAGAAAAATTGGAGAGATAAATTGATTTCTTGTATTAATGCATTTTTTAATGGCCCCTATGTCTAGTAATTTTCCTATGGCTAGCTTTATAAAATGCTGGTCTTGTTGACCAAATTTTTGCATAGGGACTTTTCTTTGATAAGGCATTTGCCTAAGAGGAATGGAATAACCATTTAGCCAAGCTAATAATAATTTGCTTGATGTAATGCTTTGCCACTCTTGTCTGTAATATCTCAAACGGCCTGCCAAAACTGTGGTACTTACGTTTATTTCCTCTTCCTGTATTGTCGGTGATCTGGGTTCGAGAAGTGGCCCTTCTGTGATCCCATCGGCTCTCGTCGTCGATAGGACGGGCGAGCCCTGTTTAAAGGATTGTTAGTATTACGGCTGGTGTTGACCCCCCCCCTTTTCTTGGGGTATTTATTATAGGCCATAGGTGTATATTGCACTTTGGTTTGGGATGTTGAGGGTGCGGATCTTAGGTCTTTACTTGTCCTTTCTAGGGTTTTTGCCTCTTTAACTTTTTCAGTTAGGTCTGTGCCAAACAGGAAATTTATTGGTTTAGTTTTTTCCACAGCCTCTTTCACCGATTTACTCAAGCTTGGGGATATCAGATTTCGTCTAACCATTGTTATATTGTATTGCAAATCTGTCAGAATGCGCCCCGAGTCACTTAAGTATTCTAGTAGGTTTTCTTTTATTTCCTTTGGAATCCTTTTATTAGTTAATAAAACCTCCATTCCCTTTGAAAGAGCAACTAGACCTTTGGCTAATTGGGTTTGTTGGCCTTGCAAATTTTTATCTCTGTTTGAGTTAGGAGGAGACAAAATGCTTAAGATTTCTGGGTTTACTTCTGGTGGAGCCATGGCTTGACAGTTAGAGGGAAGCACATATTTATTTAACAATGAAAGTTTTTCCTCCCTTTCTAGACCGTTTATTAAGAGATGGTTCCATCTAGAAGTTAAGGCTGGATGGAGGACAGCATTTTCCCCAGGGTTTTGCTCTGGATCCTTCCCTAGAATCTTTATAAGGTCCTCTGATATGTCCACATCGTTATGAATTTGGAATACTGGCGACGCTGCTGTATTAGGTTCCTCATTTATAGGGTGTTCAATGGAAGCCACATCTCGCAGATTGTGATCATCCAATTCGAGTACGTGATTCGCCGAACCTTGAGAGATTCGATCTTCACTGTTTTGTCGAGATATCGAGCCTCTCGGGCTGCGATTATCTCTTTGAAGGTTTTGGGATTGTCGTATCCTTAAGCTGTTTGATCTGGACCTTGATCTGGTTCTTGATCTACGACCACTGTTCCATGATCTGCGATCATCTGACCATGAACGCTGTCTGTGCCTGCGTTTCTTTTTGTGTATTTTCCGTTCTAGTTTCTTAATTTTTTTGAGTAGCTCCTTATTAGAGATTTCATTACCCGAATCACTAGATTCGGAGACCATTTTTACTGAAATGTGCTTATAATCACATACACACACACCGTTTACTTGGATAAAAGTCTTGAATCAGCGGTTTGATTCCCGCGCCGTATCGATAATTTCGATGAAATTTGATCCGGTGTTTAAGCGGAAAGCACTAAAAGGCGAATGAGAAATAGTTACAGCAACAAGTCCAGGGAACCGGGATACGAGATAAAAACTTTCAATATAGTGAACATAAGCACGACAGGGGCGTACTACGTGGTAAAGTGATACATTCGGAATGGACGCTGAAATATAATAAGTATTTATTAACACAAACATCTGATACGCTACTGAAGCAGGTAAGTCAAATTAACGTATCAAAATTCTTTGACATCTGATCTTTGACAAGTAGTAAATAAAAGCTAAAATGCAAGAAAATATATAATTTAGTTAATTTCAGTGAATTTCATAAATGATCGGTTTACTATACGTATGTATATTATATAGTCACTTACTAGCGAAAAGTTGTTCCATTATTTCACTCATTTTTTGCCGAGATCTACCGCACGCTACACAACCAACTATTTTAGAGTCTTTTTCGATAAATCGCGATAATGTCACTGTTAATTTAAGTTCTGCCACAATTTCCATCTAGATTTACTACCTTTATACAACTATCAGTAGTAGAATAAATAATAAATAACATAAAACAAGCTCCGTAAAGACTGACAAATCCACAAAATTTCAAATCAAATTCAAATGTGTCAAATGTGTCAAACCGTCAAACAGAACTGTCAAGGATCCCCACCCTAGAGAGCTTTTTCCGCCCACCATGCATGAATACATGGATAGCATTATGCTCCTTCCTTAGTCTTCTTATTCAAAGCGTCTATATAAGTATATCGGTTATACTTGTAATCAAGTAATTTAATTCCGTGTGAGACCAATTCAAAGATAGCCATGAAAATAACATTTATAACTAAGAAACTTTAATTTCACTAGTCCAAAAAAATAGTAAAATAAGCGTTCGGCATTTAACGTGTTATGTATAACTGGCTAGGAATTTTTACACAAATGAAGAAGTAAATTAAAGATAAAGGATCATACTATATCCATATTGTAGCACATTTTTAAACAACTTCTTTATTTTTAAGATTTTGATGGTCAAACACCACAAAATATTCCTTATGTTTGGACTAAATTTTTTCGAAAATAATGACATAATTTAAAATTCCCTTACAATACGGAAGTAGATTTCTTTACTTCTTCTGAAAATTGCTGATGTAGTATCATAGCCAGTTATCGCATGTAAAAAAAAATATAGTTTTACGATTTAGAATAAGTAATGAAGTTGAAACAAAAATTAGACAATCTTAATGTTCTCTAAATTTAAACACTCCACAAATAATTTGACACTGACATTTTAAGAAAGTTAATTTAAAAATCCTTTCAAGCACTAAATTGTATCACTCTAACCCTTCTCTCTATTTCCAGAGCCGAGAGCGTCCAAAAATACAGCGTATACTCCGACATAGTTGAGCAAGAATTTTCAAATCCTTTCCGACACAACTTTAGGAGCCATTAATTATAGTTCATATCTGTAAACGGATATACTGCCTCCAACAGAACTATAAAACAATTAACGCACTAACTAGCGGGTTTAAACTGACTGTTTATGGAGAGAAAAAGCATCAGAGAAAAAGTTTTAAAGTGGTTTTGCTCATTATTTAGTTTGCGTGATTTTTTATACCAAAAAAAACTTTCTGTCTTTGCGTATAGATCTACATTTTAAAACAGCTATACAAGGTCCAATTCAGATTAGGTAAATTTGACGAGATCACCCTGTATACAGGGTGGTCCGAACTGTATTCCGGAAATTTTGGCGGCATATTCTGCAGATAAAAATAAGTAAAAAAGTTCGTATAAATGTATGTCCTAAAATGCTTAGTTTCGGAGATACAGGGTGTTCAAGTTTTATTTTTATTTGAAACTTCTACACCCTGTATCTCCGAAAAGCCCCGACCACCCTGTATATAAATAAAATGAATAAAAAAATGAATATTTGGGCTGAAATAATGGTGATATATTTAATTGGTATACTCTTTTACAAAGATTTAAATAGTTTTCTTTTTGTAAACAAATTGGCTAGTAACATTATCGGATTTAGCACCTGAACATTTTGTACATTTGTTGCTTTAAAAAAGTGTCTAAAATGTCAAAATTCTATGGGTATATTGATAAATGAGCTGTAAATTATAAGAAAATGCATTTTCTACGAAAACTTTAAGATATAGTTAAAAAATGGCATAATACAATTTGATAGACAATTAAATTGTGCATCTGATTCTAGTAAAATATACAGGGTGTTCCATTTAAATTAAAAAGTTATAGGCGTTTCAAGCTTGTAATTATTTAAAATAAATTTTTAGACACTCTGTATAAGGTTTTTTATTCTTGCAACACAAAATTTAGTAAATAGAAAAACTTCAGTACAATATTTGGTTTTAAGAACTTAAATACGCCTAGAGAAATGAAAGATTAAAATTGTTACTGCATTTTCAGAAAATCGTCAATATTTCAAAAACGGTAAGATTAAAGTGCGGTAAACCTTAATCAAATTTATCTTTGTTGTAATCGTAGAAACTAAAAATATAATAATATACAGGGTGTTCCATTTAAAAACAAATCAACTTTGACATTTTTTTCTTTCTTTGGGAGACACTGTACCTTTTGAAATACTAGGAAGTGTACAAGAAGTACCTACCCAGACCAAACCAAACCAAACTGCTTAAAAGCAAAAATACATTTTTGACTTTTATTTTCAATCACAAATTCCGTTATAAAAAAATTCCTGTTAAAATTAAATTAACAAAGTATTTTTTCTCGCCCATTGTGACAATAAGCGTTACGGGGGTGAACATAGCATAAAGGGGTGCATAAAATAACTGATTTCGTCGTGGAATTACTTAGGTTAGTGCACACTTTGCTTTAAAACATATTTCAAAAGCGACAGGAAGTGGATTAGGAATTTCTGACCCCCCACGCACACCCTCGGAAAGCCGCAACGTGTGCAGGAGAATAAAGAGAAATGGGGGGTAGATCAGTGGCGTACTATAATAGGCAAATAAATAAAACAAGACTAAATCTAATAGAAATTGTATAGAAAATATATTGCAAAAAATTAATTGTACCTTAAAGAAATTACTGAAATTAGTAAACTTCTAATCGTTTAATGATACAACTGTAAAGCTTTGTTTATATCTTTCAATGTTTTCACGGTCTAAAATAGTATCAGTCGAACACAAATTGATAATAATCTGCCGTAGTATAATAAAGAGATATTTTGTGTTATAATTAAACATTTATTTCCTTACAGCAGACAAAATTACTCCATAAATCCTCATATTTTATAGTATTTGGCCAGAATATTCCTAGAATAAATTAATACTTGGAGTTTGTTAATTAATGGCGATGTTATTTTCCAAGTCTGCACCATACGGCAATACTGAATTGACATTCGAATTGAAAATTAAAGTTTAGTAATTTGAGAGTACTATCTAGATCTCCAAATGTTGATAAGCATTTCAAATTTTATTCTAGCCTTGTTTATTCTATTTATAATATCTTGCTCTGTGCCTCCGTTGGTTGAGATTATAATACCAAAGGTAGGTAAAATTAATCCAATGATAAAGGGAGCGACATTGTTGGTACAACCTCTCATCGATTTATTAGCTGACCATACCAACAGGTATGGTAGGCTCGAGGGACGTCTCACTTGGGTAAAAAATGTACATGTACTGCCAAAATATCATTCTACTTCCAAGCAACTGCCAATAACTGCGAAGAAGACTGCTTATGACTGCCATGTAATTTATATAGGCGACTGCCATAAGACTGCCAATGACTGCCAGCGACTGCCAAAAAATGTACATGTAATTCCAACAGTGAAACACCCCTCGGGTAGGCTATTAAGGTAGACAAAAATCAACAAAAAAAGTTTTTTTAATATAACTCAAAATGAGATATTTGGATCATAAATGACCTAAATACAAAATATCTTCATGGTGTCTGTCTGTCTGTCTGTAACACGATAACACATAAACCGCTAAACCGATTTTAAACAAATTTGGCACAAAAATACTGTGGCACCTGAGAATCTGGCCATTAGTTTTTATAGTGGGGGTGGAGGGTTGGTAAGGGGGTATGGGAGATTGGAAGATTAGCAGGAGATGTAAGATTAGGAATAATATTTGCAACAAAATTTGTAATAACATCAAAATCAGTCAAAGTCGCAGTTTTTGAGATAATTGAAACTAAAAGAACTGAATACCAACTTTTTATTAACATATTTTAGTATGGGCGGCTATACGTGCCTCCCGGTACCAATTTTTTTCAATATCGATCTTAAGACACCTGCAATTCGAGCTTCATTTGATAAGTCAAGTAGTTTTGATGCCATATCCGCGTGACTATGAGAAAGGAGACAAATATCATCTGCCCTCAGGTGTCATTTAACTAGAAGATTACTGCAAAGAAACTGAAATGTTCGCTGAGACACTGAGTGGCTATAATTTAGACATTTTTCAAGTAGTTTTTTGTTTCCTTTTCCTATTTTTTTTGCTTCTGACGATGGGAGGAGATATATATACCTCCTAAAGCGTTATGAATTTTTTGTCGACTAGGCAAATTCACTTTACTAGTAAAAATCCACTGACAAGTTTCCATATAGGTTCTTCACAGTTGGTCTTACAAAAATGACTTGTTTATTTTTTAGATAATTTTTTTTTCATGGACGAAAAACCCAGTTTTTTAAAGGGATAAACCCATGTCTGGAAGTCCGGATCCTGTAACTTCTGATTTAACTAAAAGAAAGGACCAGCCACCTGTGTCTTAATTACTTTTGTACCCCACGGTCATAAATAAACACCTATAATTAAGTAAGATAAATGAAAATGGGGAGAATGAGCATATGGGGCGACGCGACCGAACAAAGCAAGTTGGCCCCCCAGCCTAGGTCTACTGGAGAGCGTTAATAGGTTTTGTGGATTA